AATAATAAAAATTGGTAAATTATAATAAAAAATTTTAACAAAAAAATAGTCCACCCCGGCATAATAGGGTGCCTATTTCTAGTATATTTACATATATATATATATATATCAACATAAAATTATGCTACTTGCAAAAGATATTCATATCTTATTCTTATCTATTGCAAAAAAGGTTACATATAACTCAGTTGATCCTTTACATAATAGTGATTTTTTTTTATATAATTGAAAATTTTCTATTCCAACACTTAAGAAAAGCATAATAAATATCTGCAATTAGACAATTCAAATAGAAATACAAACACAAACAAGCTAACAAGTATCTAATCCCAAAGTTTCACAACTCATCATATAAAACATCATTTAATACTTCAGTGCATGCACATACTCATTCTTTGGCAAAATGTTTTTGGATGATTCATGTTTCATGCATTCATCCAAAAACTATAACAAGTAAAGAAAACTTCCTACAAGATAAGTAGGAGAATTTATTTGAAGCGATAGATTCAAATTTTAAAAAAATAATAAAATAATGAAGCAATTAAGAAAACTTGAAAAGAAAGTAAAAGAGAAAGAAGAAAATGACGACATACCTATATATATTTTGCTTAGAATTACTCAATTTATCCTATTGCTCAGACTTTCTCAAAATAAGCATTTCTAGCTACCAAACTAATTATATGGTTGTTTATTCTTAGGCCCAAAAGTAAATTAAACAATGCTAACTACTACTGTACTTACATATATGTATATACAAACTTAAGTATAATTTAAAGTTGTAAGTTGATTCGCACTATTGAAATTAATTAACATTATTATATATTTAGATCATATTTAATAGCTTTACCATATATATATATATATATATATATTACAAAAGAGATCACAATTTCAAAATATGGTAAAAAGTTATATGAATTGGAATTTGAACATCAAACTTATTAAATAGCACATTTTAAAGTAATTACATGAATCAATTGAACTAATTTCAAATTTTGTCTAACTATATACTTATATTCCACCTTTGCTTTATTACAATCATCAGATCAAAAATATTCCTTCCTTTCGTGCCATCAATAGTTTAATAGTATTAAGAATTAACTTAAATACGTGCATATTGTAAACACATATTTTATCCAAATTACCTAAAAGTAGTTTTATGATAATTTGGTCGAGTTTCGATCTTTTTGTGGTTGCCTCCGATCCATTTGAATGTCTCGATTAAATTGATATTGTTTGTTTTCATTTAGACCTATCGAATTTGATTAGAGTTCAATTCAACTGGGTTTAAGTTGTTCAAGCTTAGAAGCCCAGAATTACTCTATTTAGGATTAAAGGGCCCAAGTCCAAAATTTACTTTCCATTTTTTTTTATTTTGTTTTATTTGATGGTTATTTTTTATTCATAAAAGAAATTATTAAGATTAAAATTAAAATGATACGCATGATCTAAAAAAGAAAAAATTGAAAGCCAAAATTAGAACCCATCCTACCAATCCCACTTCCTCATGCCAATTGCCCTACTTCCTAATTCCCATAGTTTGCTACCCCTATTTGATCTTGTATAACTCATTCTTTATTCCTCCAATCCACTACCAACCACTATTCCTCTTTTTCATGATCCCAAAACTCCTTATAGATTATTACTAAGATCCCAAATTGCTTTAAAGCAAAGAACAAATTCAACCTAAAAAGAGAAAGGAAAAACCAAAAATCTACCAAAAAAAACTCCCTAAGACTACTACTCAAATTTGTTGCCAAAAAATCCAAACTAAGATCACCACCAAGCAACCACCACTGCCAAAACACTTGACAGTGCCCATCCCTTCAAATCACCACCAACACAACCCACATCCTTGCTAGACAAACCCACTACCACTAACCACCACCCAAATGGTGCCCTAAACCTTCATCAAAAACCAAAAAAAAAAAAAAACCAACACCGAAATTACCCACAACATAACAAATTCCCACGTAAACAAAAAATTTTCAAAAAAACACGAAAAAACTCATTCATCACTGGCCAATGAAGGAGCATTAGCACCAAATCAAGCTAAGAGAAAAAGGGATAGAGGGAATATTTTGCTGAAAAAAGAAAAGAAAAAAAAAGTAAGGATATGAAAAGAAAAAAATAGAGAAGTTTGGTTTGGTTGGAAAAAAAAGAAAAAAAAAAAGAGGAACTAGAGGCATTGAGAAGAAAAAAGAAAAAGAAAGTCAAATTTGGCTGAGAGGAAAAGAATGAAAGGAAAAAAAAAAGAGAAAAAGGGTCAGGAGATTTAGCTATGAAGAAAAAAGAAAAGAAAAAGAGAGAAGAAGAAAATAGAACAATCAATCGAGATTTGGGAATTTTTTTTAATAAAAGAACAAGCAGGTTAGTTTGACCTAACCAAGACTGACCTAACCTACAACTCGCCAAGCCCGACTCGACCAAATAGTTTTGATCCAAAAGCCTAACAAATTTGGCTCATCTTCATTTAAGGGACTTTAGATACTAGTCCAAAGGTTTATTTGAGTATACCTTCTCCTCTTTCCTTTTGCTATGTCATTTATTTCATCACGGCATTGCAATTTTTTTTTATTGATAGTGAAGTTTTATGATTTGGTAAAAAAATATATTTTTTTAAATAAACATTTTTAAACAATTATGTTGTAATTGTGTCACTAAGAAATAAATAAATTGAAGTTTGAATAAAAATTAAGTTTAATAATTTTGGGTTTAAAAATAATTTTCTTAAAAAAAGGGGGCAGAGCTTTAGAAATAAGGATATAAGATAATATTTCTAAGTGAGAAATAGTCTTGGAGATCTTACTTAAATATTGGAGAGAATTCAAATGATTTTTTATTTTTTTGCAAAGGAATATTATCTTTGCTTTTTTTTTTAAATTAATTTAAAAAATTATCATGTGAATCTTAAATGAAAATTAATCTTTTCTAATTTCACCTAGATATTAGGAAGTTAAAAAATAAGTAAATAAAGTTAAAAAAATAAATGTTTTTTAGTACTAAAAATGTCATTTTAATCTTAAATAAGATGTATTTGGTAAAAGATATAATTACATGCACCATTTAATTTATGCTCACATTGTCATATTTGCATTTTATGCATTATTAATAAATGTGGAATAGCAAAATCCCAATTACAAAAAATATATAGAATAATATTTCAAAAAATAATTTTGGAAACATTGCCTTGATATTGGAGGGAATTCAAATCATATTTTTTAAGGAACATCATTTTCTTTTTTACCCAAATTAATCTTGAAAATTTATTTAAGTGAGGAATCAATTCTCTTAAATTCTACCAAAATATTGAAAAATTAAAAAAAAAATTTCCAACACAAAATAAAATAACAATAAATAAAATCTCATTTATTGCTAAATGTTTTTCAAAATAAATGATAAAAATTAAAAATAAAAAGAGGTAAAATTAAAGATTTCTAAGATGAATTAAATTGGTTATTTACATCATTTAATTTTTATTTGCATCATGTTACATTACTAGCATTTTATTCTTGTAAAATATATAAAACAATAAATGTGATTTTGGAATTCTTTTTAGAAGTAAAAAACTAATATTGGGACCTTAACAAGATATTAAAAAGTTTCTCAGTTATTATTCTTTATAAAAGGATATTATGCCAAATTTTCAGAGATATTATGAGAATTCCAAGTAAAGAAATACTTTTTGAAATTTCACCTAAATATTGAAAAATTTAGAAAAATATTTTGAAACCAAATATTTTCATTTTATTTTTAAATAAAATGTTTTAAAAAATATTTGACAAAAAAAGGGGTTAAAATTAAGGGAGTCACTTTAAATATTAAAATTAAAATAAAATATAATATATGATTAATTGATACTATTTTTAAACAAGTGTTGCGAGAGATACTAAATTTTTTTACGCATAATCGTACTCCCAAACTCAAATTTGTTTTCACAAACCAAACAAAAAATTATTTTTTAACTAAATTTTAATTAATTTTAAATTTTTATTAAAAAAATAAATTATTTTAAGTGATTAATCATACCTAACAAAAAATATTAATTGCAACTCTCCTAATTTTTAAATTTTTAAAATTTTCATCCAACGGACTGCAAAACCGTTTTAACAAATGCAAATTGAAGTTTGTTTGTCCCTTTGCTGCATGCATGTTCATGGTTTTCTAGAAGGTTTAATAATTAAAATCAATATATATGAAAGAAAATTGATCATTTCTCAATTATTCAACGTGTATCTTGCAAAACATTAATTGATTCATTCTTCTTTATAAAAACAAGCGAAGAAAAAAAAAACAACTTCATATCATTTCAATATTTCAAATAAGAGTATAATCGAACCGAATTAATAAATAAAAAATTTAAGTTTCAGTTCGACTTAAAATTCATTACTCGAAATTCGACTCAAGTACAATCAAGTTTTAATCTTTATACTCGAACTCGATTCAAGATAAAAATCAAATTGTACAAACTCGCTCAATTAAACTCATTTAATAAAAATGAAATCGATTTTCATACTCGATTTCAAGTTCGATTATGTATTTGAACTCGATGTTGAATTGAAGCTTAAATTTATATATATAAGAATAAAATAATAATTTTTATTAAAATAATAAATATATATTAAAATTTAAAAACTTGATTAAATTCACGAATCATTCGAATCAAAAATTAAGATATTTAAATTTAATTTACCTGATAAATCAAATTGTTCAAACTCGAACTCGATTCAATAATAATAAATTTTGATTCAAATTTTATCTAAATTAAATCCAAATACTTATAAATATTGATATATCATTTAATCTCTAATTTCAAGTAATAGAGATGCCGTGTGGTACTGATGATCTTGACCCACATTTATAAATATTGTCTATATTATTTATATTTTGATAGTGACAATAAATTCGCAGATGAATTATAAAAACAAAGGCTTTCATTCTAATTAATGTGTTGATGTAAAATATTTTCTTTAAAAATAAGTGCTCAAAGGAGAAATTCAAGAAAGACTTTCAAGATAGTTGACCAGGTAAAACAGTGTTCTTCTTCTTTCCCCCAGCAAATTGAATTGACATCAAGCCTTCACATTTTCTTGCTCTTTTTCTCTTCATTTTCAAGAAGTTCTTCAAGCAAGTTATCATCAAAACACTCTATTTCGAAAACTTGTTTGCCTCGCTCTATTGATGATGATGATGAAAAAGAAGAAGAAGAAGAAGAAGAAGAACCCACGGAATATGAACCATAGCAATTAGCATTGGCCCCGCCACTTCCCATGGGATACTCCTCGGGAAAATTAAGAATTGCTAAGTGACCTCTCATGGCATAAGCGGCTTTATCATAAGCTCGAGCTGCCTCCTCAGCGGTGTTAAAAGTCCCGAGCCAAACACGAGCACCGTGTCTATTCGTGTCGCGTATCTCAGCCGCAAACTTCCCCCAAGGCCGCCTACGTACACCCCGGTATCGACTCGTCTTGCCGCCTTCTTCCTTGCCCTTATAACTCCGCTCCATGACCAAGCAAAGCTTGTTAATATGCAGCAAGAGTTTTTTGTATTATCTGCATGGCTGATGTGAGTGGAAATAGCATTTTATATGGATGGAAATAGGTACCCTTTTGGGTTTGGCAGCACTTTGGGTCCTACAAATTAGACACATGAAGGAATCCCATGGCTGAGATTTGTTTCCACTTGCTTATCAGAAACTTGGATTAAGTTAATTTTCTGTCCAATGTATTTGGATGGTCAAGGTGATGGCTATGGATTTTTAGAACTTCCTTTTTTTTTTTGTGGTGTTACTTTTTTCGTATGTTTGATTCTAATTGTATGTAGATTTTTAAGTTTATATTTGGTTGATTGTAGGTACATAAATTTTATATATTATCTTATTAACGTGAAAATTTTAAAAAAATCAATTTTTTACATATATTTTTTAAATATTTATAAAATTTATATTTATTCATTAATTATATAATATTATGATTGCATAAATAAATAAATATAGATTTATATAAAGGAAGGAGAATAAGTCAAAAAGAAAGAACGATTTGTTGGCTTAATGTACCAAAAACTAGTCAACATCACTACACGTCAGATAGTTTTTTAATGAGGTCATGTAGCTTACGTTTCTTTTATCTACTTTGTACTATCCTTTATGAGTTTTGTGGTGGAGACTAATTGAAAGAATTCCTGTTCAAAACCCCTTTTCTTTTTTGTTGATAATTCAAAATCTTTAACTCCTTGTTCGAGATACAAAAATTAGCATTAGCATAACCAATTCTAAAATTCAGTTATAATTAATAAATTCGAAACGAACAATTAGGTTAAATCTTTTTTTTTTTTGTGTTGCATAATGAGCAATTGATCAACTTTAACTACTAGTGTGCAATTTCTAACTAAAATTTTGTTATGGTTGATAATGGTGGACATAACTAAAAATCCTTAGTTCATTTTTCTAGCCTTTTAATGTCTACTTTATAATAAATTATCTTTTCTTTCTATTATCTGCTGAAAAAATGAGCTGTAAAAATGACACAGAAAGTAAAATATAAAAATGTGCATGATTTTGATTGATAATTTATAAGAAATGAAATAAGATAATATATATCAACCACTAACTACGTTTTCTTGTCAAAGACTCAAAGCATTGAATAATAAATAATTCTAACTAGATTGCTTTTCATGCAAGTAATGCGATTAGGATTTCTAATTCTAAAGTAATTTTAATTAGTCACAAGGCTAAAATTTCTCCTATTTTTAAAGCTGTGTTAACATCAATGTGACTGACATATCAAATCAAATGACCATTTAAGTGGATTCTTCTTTAGACAAATAATGCAATTTGGATTTGCTTTTATTTTTCTTTGTTCAAGTAAACTTTTTGTCAAAATTTAAAATTTTCCAAAACTTTATGAAAGGTAGTAGAAAAAGTTCTTGCCGACCTAGTTTTCACATCAATTCAAACCATTTGAATTAAACTAAGTGGATTGGCATTTACAAAAGTAATTCAATTCAATTTTGGCCTTTAAATATGTTAATTTTTTATGCTTTTTATTCAAGTCAATTATTTTTTTTTTCAAGGTTTAAACCTCCAATTTTCTTTTGGCCAAAGAAAAAAAACTGCCATATTTTCTTTTGGTAATATCACATTAATTCAGGCCATCAAATAAAAAAAAATCAGTGTACATCAGAAAAAGAAATCAATAAACAAGTCAAACTGGCACAAAAATAAACCAATATATAATTGGATAAAACCCACACCTTTGATGAGACTTAAATTTAAAACCTAAACAAAAATATCATTGATTAATTTACGCAATATTAAACCTTGCTTTGTGTATAATTTCAATTAGGTTTCTCTTTTTTTTTTCCTTTTATTGTTATTCTCTTCAAGTAAATTCATTGTATAACTATTAAAGTTTTTATTTAAGTCCTTTAAGTCCTAATTAATTTATGAAAAAAATTATACTTAGAGGCTATTAGGAAATATTTTACCTTGATTATTAAAATTAAAAGTTTGACACACTGTGTATCAATAAATTACATGCCTTTTGGCAAATTCAAGAAAATTTTGAATAAGAAATAGTTTGGCTCAAGTATAAAAGACCTTGAAATAAAATAAAACAAATCATTTAAATTTCTATCATTTTATTATAATCAATTGAGTATTTAAATTTTTATTTTTAATCAATGGACTCTTTAATTAGATAAAAATTGATTAACAACTGTCACAATTGCGTGGCCTACGTGACTAATATCCATCCAATCTATAGTTCAATTAGAAAAAAAATTAATGTTCGAGTGTTCAATTAAATAAAAATAAATATTTAAGCATTCAATTAATTATAATAAAATAATAATAAAGATAAATTATGATTTAATTTTAATTTAGAAACTTTTTTATAATGAAGCCAAATAATTTCAATAAATACTAAAAGGAAGTGAAAAAAATATTAAAATATCAAAATCCAATACTTAGTATATGACTATAACCGGTGATCTTCATCTAAAATGTTCTGGATTTTTATTTTTTCTTTTTTTTGGGTTTTGTTTAAAATTTAAACAGTAATATTCTTGATGAAGATTCACGTAAGCATTGACATGAAAAAATTAGTATCAAAATCAAAATGAAATCAGAATATTTTATTAAGCAATTACCTTTTTAGGTTCCGAAATGAGGGAACATGATTTGATTCGTGATAGATAATATATTATAGGAATCAGAATTTTGCTACTATAAGCACAGTGACGAAGGAGGGGCCGCATTAACCTAGACTAACCTTGAAAGAGCAAGCATCTTAAAATTTGTTTGATTAATCATTTTGATTATATTTGCTTTAGGTCAAACTTCTCGAACATGGATGAATATTGAAATGTCTCTAGGGTCACGTTTCAAACATTTTGATTTGACCACCTAAAGTAACTATTGAATTTTGATTTTGCTTTAAACAGAAAAAAAAAAAAATTCCAAGGCCATCACCACAGACCAACATTCAATGTCATTTATTCTGATTTTATAAATTCTAGCTGATTGTGTGAATTTTAATTTTTTTATGATAAAAATTACAATCATAATTAAATATTATATGTATATAAAAATTATTAAATTAAATCAAATAAATCAATTCACTAACCATATAAATTTAATATAAAATTAGATCAAACCCATATATAATAAAATTTAAATTAAAGATTTTAAGATTTCACAACTTCTTTTTTGTCATTAAGATAAAGTCTCTATAGACACCCATTTATGTTCGAACCCAATTAAATCGATTTCTTTTATTATTAGTATTTTTGTTATTATTATAGTATACATTACAATATAATAATAATAATAATAATAATAATAATAATAATTACTATTATTATTATTATTATTATTATCATTTTTTTCTTTTCTTTCGTTTCTTCTTTCTTTTTGGCTCTAATCCGCATGTGAACAAGGAAATCTGGAATCAAAATCTCACTAGTTCGATCAAAGTTATTGTAAAATCATATTAATATGATTGCTGAAATTCGAGGACCTAAAATCACACTTGGACAGAATTCAATTCTAGGATTCAAGTCTGCGATTGATTTTGAATTCTGTCTGTTTCCTAAAATCGCTTCTAGAGCTATTTATAAATTGAACTAGTACTGTAGGGGACAAGAATACAATGATTCTTAAAGAGAAAGCTCTAGAAAAATTTTGGGCAATAGGAGTATTCTGGAATTTGGATTTTGGGATTTTGGGTTCGATCTAAAGTTTTTAGATATGATTTTAGGTTTGAGGTTTTGGTGATTTCAGGAAAGATTTGGAGTTTTCTGGGAAGGTTTGAGGATTTTCTAGATTTTTCTGGGATTTGGAAGAATTTATTAATTTTTCAACGAAATTTTTTCGGTGATAGTTGAATTTTTTTATGAGATTCTTGCGACTTTTCCAAAAACCGATGAGATTTTTAGTTTTCAATTGAACTTTTCAACGAGTTTTCTAGAAACAAGTGGACTTTCTAGTGTTTGGTTGAATTTTTTAGTATCGTTCTTGGGGTTTTAGAGAGAATGCAAAGGATTTCTTAGGCTAGAGAGAGAAGCTCTGAGATTTCTGAAGCAAAAAACACTGAAGCTGACTTATATATTACCTCTACACAACTCCATTTTGGGCGACTTAAGATCTACGTAAACCTAAGTTAGGATCTGTGTGCCAACCTGCATTAAGCCGACCCGAATCGCAAGATTTTCTTTTCCTTTTTTCAATTTTTTTGGATTTCATTTTATTTATTTTGTATTTTTGTATTTTTTAAGTTTGTATTTTATCTTTTTACATAATTTTACTAGATTTTTGTATTTTTTGCATTTATTTAATATCTTCAAGAAAATAAAAATAAATCTTTTCTTTCTGAAAGAATAGAAAAAGCTGGATAAAAAAAATCTTTTCAAGTTTTCAAAAAATATATTTTAAAAACAAAAAAAAATATTCTCAAATAAAAATCATTACAAAATAAATTCATGAATTCCACCAAACTATTAGAGAATTTTCTTGGGTTTAATTTTTAAAATAGAATCCACCAAACTATTAGAAAGTTTCATAAATCGATGTTCAAAAAAAAATAAAAAAAATAATTTTTATCCTCTAAACTATTAGAAGATTATTTTTCAAATTAAGTCCTACCAAACTGTTGGGAGACTTAATAAAATTCACAAAATTTCTTTACAAATCTTTTCATAATAAAATTTCATCAAACTATTAGGAGATCTACTTTAAAGTAAGTCCTACCAAACTATTAGGAGACTTTATTAATTTTTTTGAATAAAATACATTAATAAATTCGATGACGAAGCCTCTTCATAATAGGACACTAGTCCCTATGAATACTCTTGATGTGAGAGAATTATCTTAAATTACTATTAAACTATTGAGACAATTTTAGGGTTAATTTTCAATATTAAACAATTTAGTAAATTATAAATATGATTAGGCTTGGATAATCAGAAATTAAACTGGTATCATCCTTTGGATGAGCGTTATGGGGATGCTATAACCTCGCCCATGTATAATCGTACTCCTAAACCTAAACTTTGGTTTTATGGATAAGAATCTACTTCAA